AAGTTAATAAATCAATTTAGCGAAAATTAAGGCTATTAAAAAGTATTAAACGGCATTTCCCAAGGTATTACATTTTGTAGCTTGTTTTCAATGAGTATATAAATGGTCCAAAGAGGTTGTATTCTACAGTCTGCCTGAATGTAATCATTGCGTAGGTGTGTAGTGTGATTCTGTGTAGTTTAGTTATGGCATCCCGTTGGATTTGACGTCATCTGAACAGGACATCGCACGCTCACTGCTTGATAGCGTGCAAAGGTCCGTTTACGCCGGTTGTTAAACAACATCGTTATGGGGAAATGCAAGTCTGCGTCCAAATGGTTGGAAGATAAGGAGGAAGGACAATCAATACTGTATATAGTCAATGTGAGGTAAAGTGTGTCGCCAATGTAACCGGTTAGAACTCCAAGTGGCGATGAGGTCTTAAAATGTATGGAAAGGGTCTTAAAAAAGGTCTTAAAAGGTATTACATTTGACTTCAGGATTCCTGCATATACCCTGACATAGCACACTGCTTACTGCATGGCTATTGAGACCACACCCCCTACAGGCACTGTGCATTCCTCCATCACATGCACACATGATTTCTAGAAGTAATATTTAACTCAACATTCATGTTTTTGTTCTTCAATGAAAAAAATGATTGTTCAATAAAACAATTAAAACTTGTTATGTTCTACTTACAAATAAATCTGTTGAAATGTCATGTTTTTTAATTGTATCATTTTGCATGGATGTTTTCTTATGTCAAAACAAAATGTTTATATTTATGCTTTGATAGGATACAATTCGATTACATTGCCCTCAATTCCCAGTTAGTTCCCATTAATTCCCAGTTAATTCCCATTATTCCCATGGAATGTTTCCCATATGGAATATTTCCAAAATTCCCCAGCTTAACTTCCCGTGGAAATTTACCGGAAACTTACCGGAATTGTTCCGCCCCTTTGCAAACCTAATCACGATAGATAATTAGATTTTTGTGTGAAATAAGCATCATTACCTCTACCTAGAAGGTCGTTTTTGTTTTGTTTGCAGGATTACTGACAAACTATGGGCTGATTTTCATTAAACTTGGTCAAAGAGTATAGAATAGAGCTGCAACTTATCTTGTATTCATTATCGATACATCTGCTGATTGTCTAAAAATAATTCCTTTATTCCTTCCTTCAGTCAGAAAATATTAAAACATATACATCCCAGTTTCAGAAAGTCCAAGGTGTTTGCTGAATGTGTTGTTTTGTCAGTTTAAAATCCAAAGATATTAACTTAGATGTAATATAAAATAGATAAAAGCATCAAATCTCACTATTTGAAAGGCTGAAAACTGCATTTGAAGGCATTTTGCATGAAAAAAGTTGGGTCAGAATCAGGTTTATTGTCAAGTAGGTTGTCACATACAAGGAATTTGCTTTGGTATATTTATGCATATATAAACACAGAAATAGATGTGTACAATAAACATAAAAACACCAAAAAAGTGTAATGAAAATATGACACACTTCTGTAAAAGAAACATCTGCAGTATATTTTAAATTTAAAATAGAAGGACTCCTTCAGAAGTGATAGTTTTGTGCAGAAATGACCTAGTAACAGATGGAAGATATCTGTCAATTGATTGGAATAGATTGGTCTCATCATTGCAGCTCTATGAAGCATTGGCCACGGAAAAACACATAAAAATTAGTTTAACGGGACGGATACACGCATAATTAAATATGCATTGAGAGGTTGGGCATGGTCTTGGTTGAGGTTTAAATTCTTCACTTCTAGTTTTATGGTTTGTTTTATTATTCAATCGTTGTTGTCTTCGCAGTTTAAGTATGTAAGAAATCCCAGTTCATTTAAAAAGACTGTTAAAGGGGACCTATCATGCAAAATGCACTTTGTGATGTCTTTTATACATATGTGTCCCCGGTGTGTCGGGGAACTCTCGCAGCGTCAGAAAATAAAACCCTCTCTCTTTTCCTCCGTACCCAAATCTTTTAAAAACGGTGGTACAACGAGCGGATACAGATTTGCTGACGATATGACGTCAAATCGGCGGAGGACCCTCAGAAAGTTGCTATCAGAAACAATGCCTGACGTGTTTTCGACGTAATCTCGTCTTTGTTTACATTAGCAAGCCTCGCTAACACTCAGAGCTAACCTGTACTGGAGAGCACATGTGTTTAAAAAGCAGGAAATAAAAAAAGAACTCGCCTTGTGATAAACCTGCAAGAGAAAAAGCATTTGAGCTCCATACTGTTTCAGAAATAATCCTTCACGTGGTTTAGAACAGGATGGCGTTTTATCACAGCAGAATTTAACTTTATCTCCGGTAGAATTCTGATCAGGCATTAGCTCCGCCTCCTCTTTTTTTTTTTTTCAAGCTAAGGACCCAAAATCCTTGTTTCTCTAACAGGTGTGTAAGAGGGGTATGAGCAGAGGCATGGCTACAATGGAGGGATCTGTTTAGGATTTTAAGCAAAACACTTCACAGACATGTTTTGTATAGGTATGGCCCTACAATATATTTTTCCAATATAGGTCCACTTTAAGCTACGTGTTGATTTGCAATCCCTCTGCCGTTTATTGCAGTCGTTAAACAGCCAGTATACTCGGTGTGATACAGATACACTTCTTGTATATTTCACTGCAGCCTTACACTCAGTGCTCTAACCTGCTTTCAGATGCCAGTGTTGTTTTACCATAATTAGGTAAGTTTGTTTAGCTGAACTAATTATCCGCTCTGAAGGGCTGGCTCTGCTCTGCTCTGAATGTGGCTCTTTAAAGTGTTGATTTGCCTTTTGTGAGGGTCTGACCTGCAGGCTGCCGGCCCCCAAGGGTCCGACCTGAGCAGGGTGTGGCTGCTGATTGGAGACACTGACTGCAGGTCGTGGTTGTGCTTAACTTTTCAGACAGCTTTCAAATTATTCTGACCGCAGGGCAGGAGTTTTAGCCCCCCGCCCTGCAGAAACAGAAGCGGTTTCTGACCTCCTCCCTCGTCATCTAGCAGAGCAGCGAGCAGTGTTACATTAAAAATATGATTTTTAATTTGGGTTAAAGGTCCCATGTCATGGCCATTTCCACTGATCATAATTCCATTGTTGAGGTCTACTAGAATATATTTACATTGTTCAATTTTCCAAACTCTCATTGGTTTCTCATACAGCATCTCTGTATAGTATGTGTATTCACTCTCTGTCCTAAACGGCTTGTTGGAGCTCCTGCCCCCCCCCTCCCTGTGAGCCCACTGTGCTCTGATTGGTCAGCGCGCCCACTCTGTTCTGATGAGTCCACCACCGTTACAGCGGAACATCAGATTTTAAGTTTTACAATGGCGTTAGCAACCAGAAAATGACACCAGTAAGGACAAACAGATGAGAATGCTGCGTGGGGTCTGGGTGCCGTGTTGGCGGGACGTTGCGAGGGGACGGGGAAGGGGGGGGGTGCTGAGGGGGCTGCAGCACCCCCATCTGAGGCTCAAGATGATATAGATAACTATATTATTTTAATATTGTTGTTATGTTTTCTGTAAAGCAGACAAATACAGTTTATTATTATTATCACATATGTAGACAACAAGGTTATTTATTTTTCTGTCCTTTGATTATATTTAGTATGATAACATGTGTTCTGATTGGTCTAAAGCTTTGAAGTGTGGAACTGATTTACTTTGGGGCAATAACTAACAGAATAACTTTGACATTATTGGATAAAAGGAAAAATCTCAGTTCAGCTTTAACATTCAAAGTCAACATTTTTGAAAAATAATGAAAAACCTAAAAATGTATTTGTTTTGCACAGCATATGTGAGTTTGATATTCAACGTGTTGCATTTTCATAAATGACAAACGCTCAACGGTGCTCCTTTTTGTTTCTGAGATACAGCCATATTCTAGTCGTACTATATTTCGTCTTTGGGCACAATGTTTTTCCCTAAAATATAATAAAACACATAAATAACATAAGTCCAATGTGCCCACACACTAAATGAACTATGAGAAAAAAAACGTCCTTTTCAGCCAAATATTTTTGACTGATTTTGACTTTTCCAATTTGAGCTTGCATAGTTTTCAGTTAAAAAATAAAGTTCTGCTAGATTTAGGCACACGATCCACAAAGGTCTAAATGCAGCTTCCCAGTTAAATATAGAAAAAAAAGTCACACTTCATGAAGTCATTCCCACATTTTCTAGAGAGCACCATCACACTATCTAGAATCAATGCATGTTTCCAAAACAGATCTACATCAGTCATCTCTGATAGATACAAGCAATCTACAGGAGTCACATTGTTGTTCTCTGGGGGGTGGGGGGGTGCGGGGGTCTGCATGAGGATTGCTTAGGGGACGCAGAGGAGCTTTTCTTATGCTAATGCTGCTGCAGGTTAACTCTCACAGAACACAGACTGCACCTCTCACTCTGCAGCCTGCTGCCGGCCTCATGGATTACTTTTATCCAACTCCATTGAATTTTATCCATTTGGGAATACATTTAAAAACATCGTGCACCTATATGGACAAAACAAAGCATGCTCATAACATTGGTTTACGTTAAATAAGATAGAATTGAAGCAAAGGCAGTGCAATTAAGATAGAAATCTTCCAAAGTTGTAGTTTTTGATGTATTTTTGCTGCTTTTTCTCCATTGCCATATAGTTTACTGTTGGGGAAAGTGAGGAAAATGAATGCGTATTATTGCAGCTATTCTTTTAGCACGTCCACCAAGAAAAATAGTAACCCTCTGCTCAGCTAAAACCTTGAAGGAGCTTCAAAGGTGTCGTAAGGAGACGCTGCTTCTCCTGCAGAAAGGGTGTGGTCTCAGGTGTTGGACAGGTAGAGCCCTCCCCCCTCTCTCCTCCCGGTATATATGACCTCCCAGAAGATTCCTATAGAAGCTCCTGCCTGTCCACTTTGCATCCGTCGTCCACATCGCTCCTTCAGAGTGACGAAAAGAGATTTGTGGAATCCTGGAGCCAGTGGAGCACACAGCAGCAGCTCTGCTCAACCTCAGCGCCAACATGTTGTACCTGGAGACGGGCTCCACCACGGCCTACAGTGAGGTAAGGCTTCCTGGAGATGGATCCCCGGAGCTCCATGGGACAGTGAAAAACCACAAAACAGTTGAAGGCCTTGTATTTTGGGGCCTAAAGTTAATGTCAGTCCTCTAAATAATCAGAAATTACTTGACACTGGATACTTTTGGGGTAACCAACGTGTGCTGTGATTTTGTCATAGATTTTGTTCATTTAAAGGGAGTGACGACTACTAATGAAAGACTAGAAAACGCGGGGAACATGGTTTTGCATTTGTCAGAGTGTGTGTGTGTGTGTGTGTGTGTGTGTGTGTGTGTTTGCATGCACATCTGTGTGTGAGCAGGGGAATGTAAACACCTGGAGATTTTCTTTTTTCTCTTGTGAAATGGCTGCTGTCTGGCTTTGCTGTGATTTGAAGAGTAGGAACGTTGAATGTGAACATTTTCCAAAAGGCGTTGGAGGTTTTTCATTTTCCGTGCTGTAAAGTTTTAGCTCCTTTCATTGGAAACTATTAAAATATAAAGAATACCAAAAGTAAATGAAATCTTATTGTGAAGAAATTAGAAACTTTTTATGATAACATTTTGTGCTTTGTTGGATTAAGATGGGAGTTTTCCTTTGCTCTTAGCGCCTCTCTTTAAGACGCCTGAAGTTTACATTAAACACTTTTTTGTTACTTGAAGACAAAAAAAATCGCAAATGACGTTTTTTATTCATCAAATTGAGAAATATTTCTCTGTTTCAGAAGAAAAATCTGAGTTTGGATTCCCATTTTTCACTCTGAAAGTGCAAGCGTCGTGATTGATGGCTCTGTGTTTGCACGGTAAACACCTGGAGGATGTTTCACAGTCAATTCAATGATAAGAAGTTTGTACAGAAGTTACTTTCAGCTTATTTTTTCTCAATCAGAAGACATGACATTATTGTGATTTTGGGACGTTTGTCTTTTCATCAGTTTAACCATCATTCTGTCCTAGCAACACAGAAATAATTGGGCCTTTCAGCTTCATATTATTTGTCTTAAAGTGTGAAAAACATTGCTTTAGTTTCAGGATGTTCTGTATTTGTACTGAGACTTTAGGCGCCTTTTCTTTAGTGAACTCTTGTGTCTCGCTCCTTGTGTTTTTCACCAACCGAGCCCTGCATCCACACAGCGGCGCGCTGATGGATCCTCAGATTGCAGGTTGCAGATAGCAGGTGTGTCAGGTCACTGTCTTTTAAGTTGTTGAGCAGGGGGTCTTTAAGTGGTGTCCGGCTCAGGGTGTGTGTGAGGGGGGTGTCAGGTTCCCCCAGCCTGCTAGGAGCCGCTGCCAGGCGCTGCTGTTTAGTCCAGCATCGTAATTGCTTTAATGGTGTGTTGATGTAGATACAATCACCTACTCTGCCCACCCCAGCAGGTATAAAAGGTGTAGATAGACCCCCACCCCAGCCCCACCTCACTTCACCTCACCCCCCCCACCCTGTTGATCCTTTAATGCCTCCCTCCCCTGTGGTCACTCATCACGGTCCCCTCGATGCTCTCATGCAAAGGGTCACCAGAGAGTGGGAGTTATTCCCCCTCAGGCCGGGTCTGCTCTGGTTCCTGTCGTCTGTTTTATCACCGAACAGCAGCACTAATGCACTCTAGGTCTCCTTAAAGGCTTCGGAACATTTTGAGTTTTTGTGCTATTTTGCTTTCATAACAACGGCTTTTTTTAGCCTGGTTGAAAGAAAACATCCAAAATACATATTAAGGTGTTTATTTCACTCACTTTTGACTATGTGTGTGTAGATTTCTCCTAAAATCCCTATAAGTAATAACGCCTTATATGCTTATTTAAAAAAAGCTTTTAAGAAAACTTGTAATACTAAATATTATTGCCTTAATGTAACGTATGAACTGGCGAGGTTTCATGGTGATATCTATTGCATTTTTTACGCTATTCACCTGTAGTGTGTACAAAATGGATGGATTTTACAAAACATAGCAAGGCATGGTTTCTCAAATTGTGTTTTTTTCTACTACTCTGCTTTTTAGTTTTATTCCTATCTATATTCTGATGGTTAGTCAGAGGGCTTTGTTCACACGTCATCAACAGCCTGATTTATAGAGCATTTTATTCATAACTGACTGTTGACAGTACTTTCTGATTTATGGAGTGATACGAAGAGATCTCCAAAATCCCCTCTGTAAAAATCTTTGACTCTAATATGTGAAAAAAAAATCAAACATGACCTTTGGCTTCATCAGATATTCAAATGTTTGTTATGTAACGCAACCTTCTCAAATGTACAATTAACATTTATGCAACAGTGTGACTTTCATAGCGTTGTGTAAGAGTCTTATGAGAAGTGGAACAGGATTTTATTGGCTTGACATTCTGCCTGCAGTGTTGACAGAGATGACTATAGAGCGCTGCAGGATGATTTTTTTTTGTCGACCAACCCCGGAGATAGCTCATGGCTCATTGGGATTTTTCCATTGGATTGTAGTGGAAAATAAGCTCTGTGGCGAACAACACATTATGACACTGACATGGCATGCAAAAAAACTAATGTAAGAATTGAAACGAACAACAGCACGGTTGCACAACTTCACGACTCAACTAAAGGTGGTGCAGAAATGCTGACTCATTTCCCGGATATGGGACTCATTTCTGCATCATCATGATCTGAAGCCTTTCAACACGGTTGTCCTTAATAATCAAACCACTGTTTGGACATTATTTTAATTTGTTTAACAAGCCTAAATGACACTCTTAAGGTTTCTACAAAGAAATACTTATCCTGACAACATATTAGGTTGTTAATGAGGTAGTTTTCTTTTGTGGGTAATGCAAAAGAAATGTAAGAATCGGGGCTAATGTTTCATTTCATTTCATTTCAAACCTTTATTTATCCAGGTTGTATCCCATTGAGATCATTGACCTCTTTTTCAAGGGAGACCTGCAAAGTTAAGTTGCATTAATGCAAATTCTGGATTTGAAAGCCATAAGATTATTAAGCAAATTACTTAAAGCAATAGTGTTGATCATTAGGAAAAACTTTAGTAATATTTGCCTCCATTTATCTTGCATTACCTACACCACAAGAAATACCTTAAATGGGACACCATGCCACTAACCTTTAAGCTAGTGCTGCATTGTGTGTTTGAATCATCTGATATGTGTAGTAGCTATGTCAGATCGTAATCAACAGACTTTTATTCTGAAGTCTCCTCTCCCTGCCGACCCCAGCACTTATCTCAGACAAAGAAGAGCTGAAAAACAGACTGCACTACCTTTTAAAAGCGTTATTAAAGGCTGTTGAGGATGTCAAGCTGCTGATTTACCGTGTTCCCAAAGGCCTCGACACACACGCTGTAAACACAAGGAATTTTTAGGAGCAGCTGAGGTGGTTATTAGATGGTTTTCTGTATTATAGTGGAATAAGATCTGATGAAAGGTCTTTTTAAAGCTTGATAGCCCAACTTCCACTCGATTAAACATTAAAACACGATGAGCTCAATTATCCTTTTATCCTTTAATTCATTTAGACCAGCAGCAGCACTAACCAGAGCCCTGTAGTTAATGGGAAGTATTCAATGTCAGGCTTTTCTTCAGAATAATAATTTGACTTTGATAATTGGTGGCTGTCACTCGCTGCTGCTGCTGCTGCTGCACAGTTCAAAAGAAATCACTGATATCATGAAGGTGACTTACAGGAAAACACCGTCCAGCAGGAAATAAGTCACCCTTTAGTTCACATGAAGAACACCAACTATTCACCTTCTTTTCATTCACATCGGATAAAATAACATCATTTGAATTGTTGAGTAAATTATTCTTATTTTTTGTCACTTCGGTTTGAAGCATACTATTTTTTTCTCCTCTGATATGGATAATCATACATTACATTACATGTCACTTGCTAGACGCTTTTATCCAAAGCGACTTACATCCTCAATACTGTGGACAATCCCCACAGGAGCAATTTGGGGTGAAGTGTCTCAGGGACACAACGACATGCTGACTGCAGTGGGGTTTGAACCTTGTGCTCCCCTGATCCGAACACTAACCCACTGCTTCACACGCCTCCCTCGTACACTTATTTGTATACCACTGATAGATCTATCTTTTTAAGTGTTTTTTTTTGCCTTAATCATGTACTGTATATACAGCTTTTAACTGGTCTTATTCTGCTAAGTAATGTCTTCAGTTGTAATGCTTGTGTTGTCCTGTTAAGATGGAGTATAAAGTTGCAGGAAATAATAGTGCAATTACCTGAACTACCTCGTTAAGTACATTACTTGAGTAAATTAACTTAGTTACTTTCCACCACTCCTCTAAGCCCTTTGAGTTTAAACCTTTATATGTGTGTAATTAGCCTATTGTAAGGGAGTGTGTGAGGAAGGTTGGAGGGTCTACTCCAGTGTGTGTGTGTGTGTGTGTGTGTGTGTGTCCCACTTGTCCTTTAACACCTGCATCCCCAGTATAACTCTCCAGGCGGCTCCTATATTCCTAGTTTTTTTTAGTGGTGGTGAAGCAGCCTCGCGCCACACGCACACACACACACACACACACACACACACACGCACACACACCTTGACCCCCGTCCTCACACACACACCCCGCGGCGCTCTGCACAAGTATGTGAGGTTCACACTACTGACCTCTCTCAGGTGTGTCTGTCTGTAAAGGAGCAAAGCTTTAAATGTCACTGCTTTACAGGATTACTTCACCCACAAAATGACCATCTGACCAGTGTTACCTTGCATTTCTGTAGAAAAAAGTGATGAATTTAGTAAAGTAAATGTTTAATAAAGTACATTTGTAACAGAAAAACTATTCAAAAACATACATTTACAAGCAACACTTCGCAGGCCTTAATCTAATGTGTTATTATAACTTGCATGAAAACATTTGCCCATTTGCAAGTCAGATTCTTTTTTACATTTTACCCAAATGCCGAACTGCGTATCATTTACTTACCGTCTGTTACCTTGAGCATAAACAATCTTATGTTGTACAGGTGAGCAAGGGGCCAAAGCTTTTTCAGAATAAGGTTTTAGTGGAAGTGAATGAATTTGTTAAGAAGTGGAAGCATGCAAGAAATAAAAAAAATTTAACTAAGAATTTGAGGTAAATGCGTGAAAAACAACCGCAGAAATGCACATTTTAGGGTTCTGATTTATTTTCTTTTTTAGTATAACATATTAATTGGCAATTGCTGACAACTCGACTTGCTTCTTCTTGTGAGATTTTCTGTTACATAGTGTTTATAAAGTACATATAAACGTACATATTTGTTCATCGTGGGTTCATTTGTTTGTAAACGCTTTTTTAGATGTGGGTTTGCCTCCATTTACTTTTAATCATCAAGACTTTTCTCGATAAACTTCATTCACAGTGGAGGTGTCTTAAAGGTTACACGGTTTGAGTATTTTAAATATTTTTAAGGTTGAAATGCTCCTTTGATAGTTAAATGACCGCAGTAGTCCGGTGGTCATCTGGCTGCGGCTAACACCTGGCAGAGTGAGGGGTGTGAGGCGGACAGCTGTGGTCGGCCGTGCTTGAAATAAACAAGAGGCCCTGCAGAGATTAATGGTGTTGCTGTCTGAAGAGCGAGGGCCATGGCACCTCGTCCAGGAATGTGCCGTTTATAAATGGAAAGGAATGGGTTGAGAGGAAGGGGCTGGCTGCGGCCCAGGTGTATCTCCATCCTGCTCAAAGCACACATCTAATACCACTCCTCTGTCTGCATAGCTGCGACACCGCATTGATCCATCCCAATGAAATCTGACCTTTAATAGACATAAAGACATATCTGGGTGTCAGGAAGGAGTTAGACTGTAAACACAACACAAGGGAAGATGGTTTATGTGACTCTCAAAGTCAACTTCATTGTCAGTCTTTCAGTTTGTGTGTACAGACAGAGAGATCGAAATACCGTTTCCCACAATCCCAAACACAAAAACAAATATATATAAGAATATGTATATACCTATATATATATGCACACATTAAGACCTAAATAAAAGCACAACAATCAATCAATAACTCTGCTGTTACAAGCATTTTTTTTCTTTTGGTCAAACAGATCATCACTTCCTGTTGTTTAAAAAAACACACTTTTTTACATTTTAACCAACGCTTATTGGAAGCAACTGATTATATAAACGTTAACAGCCTTAATATCCAAGTTTCATGTGACCTTGTCTAATTTGCAGAGTGACATTTTTCTTTTTTTAACTGTTTCTTTAAAGATCGAACGCCACCAAACACAGATTAAAACTAAAGTAATGAGTCTGTTTTGAAAATATAAGAAGTAGAAAGTACAGGTATTTGTGTTCAACATGTAAGAAGTAGAAAGTACAGGTATTTGTGTTCAACATGTAAGAAGTAGAAAGTACAGGTATTTGTGTTCAACATGTAAGAAGTAGAAAGTACAGGTATTTGTGTTCAACATGTAAGAAGTAGAAAGTACAGGTATTTGTGTTCAACATGTAAGAAGTCAAAGTAAAAAGTCATCAGAAAAATAAGCAGTAGAAATGTACTGTTTCTTTACGGATCGAACAACCTCAAATTCCCCGGATAACTAACGATGCCATTTCTTTGTTTTGTCTCCAGTCGCAGTACACGAACCTGGGTCTCCTGAACAGCATGGATCAGAGCATCCAGAACGGAGGCTCCACCTCCACCAGCCCCTACAACAACGATCACTCCCAGAACAACGTGGCGGCGCCCTCACCCTACTCCCAGCCCAGCTCCACCTTCGACGCCCTCTCCCCCTCCCCCGCCATCCCCTCCAACACAGACTACGCCGGGACACACACCTTCGACGTGTCCTTCCAGCAGTCCAGCACCGCAAAGTCTGCCACCTGGACGGTAAGAATCACATATCACAGCATTAAAGGTCACCTATTATGCTAAATCCTCTTCTTCATGTCTCTTCTACATCAACATGTGTCCCCTCTTCTTCATGTCTCTTCTACATCAACATGTGTCCCCTCTTCTCCATGTCTCCGCTACATCAACATGTGTCCCCTCTTCTTCATGTCTCTTCTACATCAACATGTGTCCCCTCTTCTTCATGTCTCTTCTACATCAACATGTGTCCCCTCTTCTTCATGTCTCTTCTACATCAACATGTGTCCCCTCTTCTTCATGTCTCTTCTACATCAACATGTGTCCCCTCTTCTTCATGTCTCTTCTACATCAACATGTGTCCCCTCTTCTCCATGTCTCCGCTACATCAACATGTGTCCCCTCTTCTTCATGTCTCTTCTACATCAACATGTGTCCCCTCTTCTTCATGTCTCTTCTACATCACCATGTGTCCCCTCTTCTCCATGTCTCTTCTACATCAACATGTGTCCCCTCTTCTTCATGTCTCTTCTACATCAACATGTGTCCCCTCTTCTCCATGTCTCCGCTACATCAACATGTGTCCCCTCTTCTTCATGTCTCTTCTACATCAACATGTGTCCCCTCTTCTTCATGTCTCTTCTACATCAACATGTGTCCCCTCTTCTTCATGTCTCTTCTACATCAACATGTGTCCCCTCTTCTTCATGTCTCTTCTACATCAACATGTGTCCCCTCTTCTTCATGTCTCTTCTACATCAACATGTGTCCCCTCTTCTCCATGTCTCCGCTACATCAACATGTGTCCCCTCTTCTTCATGTCTCTTCTACATCAACATGTGTCCCCTCTTCTTCATGTCTCTTCTACATCACCATGTGTCCCCTCTTCTCCATGTCTCTTCTACATCAACATGTGTCCCCTCTTCTTCATGTCTCTTCTACATCAACATGTGTCCCCTCTTCTCCATGTCTCCGCTACATCAACATGTGTCCCCTCTTCTTCATGTCTCTTCTACATCAACATGTGTCCCCTCTTCTCCATGTCTCTTCTACATCAACATGTGTCCCCTCTTCTTCATGTCTCTTCTACATCAACATGTGTCCCCTCTTCTCCATGTCTCCGCTACATCAACATGTGTCCCCTCTTCTTCCTGTCTCTTCTACATCAACATGTGTCCCCTCTTCTTCATGTCTCTTCTACATCAACATGTGTCCCCTCTTCTTCATGTCTCTTCTACATCAACATGTGTCCCCTCTTCTTCATGTCTCTTCTACATCAACATGTGTCCCCTCTTCTTCATGTCTCTTCTACATCAACATGTGTCCCCTCTTCTCCATGTCTCTTCTACATCAACATGTGTCCCCTCTTCTTCATGTCTCTTCTACATCAACATGTGTCCCCTCTTCTTCATGTCTCTTCTACATCAACATGTGTCCCCTCTTCTTCATGTCTCTTCTACATCAACATGTGTCCCCTCTTCTTCATGTCTCTTCTACATCAACATGTGTCCCCTCTTCTTCATGTCTCTTCTACATCAACATGTGTCCCCTCTTCTTCATGTCTCTTCTACATCAACATGTGTCCCCTCTTCTTCATGTCTCTTCTATATCAACATGTGTCCTCTCTTCTTCATGTCTCTTCTACATCACCATGTGTCCCCTCTTCTCCATGTCTCTTCTACATCAACATGTGTCCCCTCTTCTTCATGTCTCTTCTACATCAACATGTGTCCCCTCTTCTCCATGTCTCTTCTACATCAACATGTGTCCCCTCTTCTTCATGTCTCTTCTACATCAACATGTGTCCCCTCTTCTTCATGTCTCTTCTACATCAACATGTGTCCCCTCTTCTTCATGTCTCTTCTACATCAACATGTGTCCCCTCTTCATCATGTCTCTTCTACATCAACATGTGTCCCCTCTTCTTCATGTCTCTTCTACATCAACATGTGTCCCCTCTTCTTCATGTCTCTTCTACATCAACATGTGTCCCCTCTTCTTCATGTCTCTTCTTCATCAACATGTGTCCCCTCTGTGGAAAGAGACTCTGAAAGTTTCAGGAACAAAGATTCTCTCTCTTTTTGTCCTGATCCATTTTTATAAAAACCTGTCTGAAAATGAGCTGATCAGATTTTGGCCACTTTGTGATGTCATAACGATGTGTTGTCTTGTGTAACCATTAGCCAATCAGCAACCAAGGTAACCACCCCCCCCCCCCCCCCCCCCCCCCCCTTATCACCTGAATCTCCTCCTAGAGCACCATTGTGTTCTTTTTAACCAAATATCTCTCAGAGGGGCGTGGGGAGGGGCTCCTTATTTTCATCTAAAGTAACAGAGAATCAGCACTTTTGAAACAGGGCTGAAACAGAGGGGATTATGGGTAATGCTGCAATGATCTGTTTGGTGTTTCAGCCAATCAGAGACATGTTCTGTATATATCTGAGACCTGTAATATATTGATGAAAAACAGTATAATAGGGGACCTTTAAGATGTTGTGTTGAAACATTTTGGAACATTTCATATTGCATATATAGCTTTTTTGTGTTAATTATTACACTGCCATTTTTTACTGCACCTAAATTGGTATCCAGTACATTACTAGCTATAGAAAATAATGAACACTTGAACTGTTGAACTGATCAACATTGTGGTAAATACACTTGATGATAAGATCCATGACCATTCACACATCTGCTCATTTCATTTCATTTCATTTCAAACCTTTATTTATCATTAAATATGAAGCCAGTTAGTTAAGTGTTCAGACTGAAATCAAAGTAAACATCCTGGCCTCTCTCCAAAGATTACAAACAAATAAATAAGTCCATTAATTAAAATGTTATATCTTGTTTTTAATCAGTACAAAACCAAAAGTGTGAAAATAGAAGATTTCTTAGCCTCGGGCAGTTTCCAGGCCAGCCCAGTTTATACTTGTTTTCACACTTTTTGTAGCCTTAAAGTGAATTTGATTTTCTCATGTAACCCCTCAGCCAGATTTCAAAAATACGATAAACAAAGAAAATGGTTTTAGAACGTAAGGCTAATTTAATGTCACACACCTATAGGTCAATTTCACACAAAGCAAGGTAAGTTAAATTCACAATATACTGTACGTTTACCTTTTTAAAGTATTACTTTTCTTCTGCTGAGCACTTCTGCGAGTCTTAAACAAATAACTTTTTGGCACATGTCAGTTCTTCACATAGTTTTAAATGTGTAATATGCTAGTCATAATAAATATGAACCCACAGAGACACTTTTATGCTGCAGCTGTCCTCGGAGCAGCTCATCTTATGAGGCAGAGATTTGTCAGGTAGAGGTTGAACTCCTTATCTGATCAATCTGCGCTCCAGGCAGATTCAGGTTGCACAACTACATTTGGCAGAAGAATGTCACCTGAGATTAATCGCCTCAAATCATGAGTAAAGAGAGGCATTTCTACCTCAGGCTCACATCACACAGCACCTGATGAAACACTGATGAGGGGGGTCTCTCTATAACCCTAAAGATCCTTTAAAAAGTTCTAAAAGACATTGAATTTATTTACTTAAAGTGCACCTATCATGCTATTTTTAGGCAATAGCATAGGTCTCAGATATATAAAAATATATAAAAAACATGTCTATGAAGTGTTTTGCTCAAAATACCAAACAGATCACCCATTCTAGCCATGCCTCATATCCCTCTATTTCACTTCCTGTTTCAAAAGTGCTGATTTGGGGTATAAAGCTTTAAAAAAATAAAAATTGATACAAAATAAAAAAGTAGGGGTCTGAGCTCATGCAGGACCCGGCAGCTACTGTCTAAACTAAATACTGCCGTGATGAAACACCATATCATGGATTATCAAGGATTATTTCTGAAACAGTATGGAGCTCAAAGGCTTTCTCTCTTGCCGGTTATACCACAAGGTGAGTTCCTTTTTATGTGCAGTACAGGTTAGCTCTGAGTGTTAGCGATGCTAATATTACCGTTTAACCATATTAAGTCCAAAACAGTCGGGCATTGTTTCTGATAGCAACGTTTCTGATAGGGCCGTGGGTCCACATTTCAGATATTACGTCATATCGGACGCAAATCTGGATCAGCTCCGTTGTTCCCCCGTTTTTAGACATTTGGGTACGGAGGAAAAGAGAGAGGGTTTTATTTTCTGACGCTGCGTGAGTTCCCCGACACACCGGGGACACATGTTGATGTAGAAAAGACATCAAAATGTGCATTTTGCATGATAAGTCCCCTTTAACATAAGGCGTTTATTGGGATTAAAATAATTAAATCAATCAATAGGAGACATGGGAAATAGGAGTTCATGAGTCGTTTGCATTGTTAAATCTCTAAGTAATGTGTAACATCTACTTTTTAAACAACATTTTATCTAAATCCTTTCACATTAACATCATGCAGATCAAAATGGCTGAACCAACAGCACTCGTACTCTCTGTTTCTGGCCAGAAAGCGTGGTGCAGGGAAGTGAACATGTAACAGAAATTGTCTTTAAACTAAGATTTTACGCCATTGCCATTGCATTGATAAAAGGCAGTGAATACGGGGTTCTGTGTATTTTATGCAACAATATTTTTAAACTTTAAACACGTAGCAAGTGTCTTGTCAAGCGGGAGAGAAAGTGAGTATATTTGATTTTTCTTTAGGCCCTTTCAAAACGTTTCTTTAATTGTGTTTTAAATCTTTTGATCAGCAGATTTTGCTACAAAAATGATCATTTTGTGGGTGAAATAATCCTTTAAGTGCTCAGAGGAACATGGTTCTAATCCTAAAATATGAACTCTTACTCCCAACTCTGCCTTTTCCACGAAAAAAGTAGACTATTGGTCATTTTTTAAACCTTATTACATGCATAATGACTTATTTGCAGGAACACATCTCTGACAAACACAGCAAGTGATGCTTCTGCATGATTCTTTGCGGAAACATTTCCTTTTGTCAAGGACGGCCCTAAAAGTATTGTCTATTTTTTAATCCTACATATAATGAGGATGAATGTCAAAACTCCTCCTCTATT